CCTAACCCTAATATAGGGTTAGGGGTGTGCACCAGGGTAGGGTTAGGGTTAGGAAAACGAGGTGTCCTGGCATGGTTTTGATGGTTGGAATGTGTTTAGAATGGGCAGAAATGATGAGCTGGGCAGAAAAAGCTCCTCAGGGAAGTCTTTTTCAAAATCGCCCTCTTTTCAATGGAACTTTAGCCCTGTATTAGGGCTTTGGGTGTGCGCCAGGGTAGGGTTAGGAAAATGATGGTCTCAGTGGACTTTCTGAGGCCTGCGATGTTCTTAGACTGGGCCCAGAAGGCAAGGCGTGCAGAAAAATCCCCACCTCGTGGCATTTGTGAAGTCAGGTTCCAGGCACAGCCCTTTCAGCCTAAAATTAGGGTTAGGAGAAAATCCGGGTTAGGGTTAGGAAAATGACGATCCCAACAGACTTTCTGTGTCCTGCCACATTCTTAGGCTGGGCTGTTTGTCCTTCTACGTTTGTTACATAGTTTTTAGGTGCAAAATACTTGCACTTTACTCATATGAGGTATTTTCTGTTTGTGTGTATGTGTTTAAAGTATATGTTTTGGGGCGCCAGGGAATCATACAGTGATACGACTGTGCCTCGCATTTGGCAGCACATTGAGCCCCCCCAGGTGGGACGTGTGTGTCTGTCTGTGATCCCAGTTTAATGTCTGGTGTGACCCCTTTTCAGAGTCTCCTTGCATTTTCTTTGTGAGTGGGTTGTATGCACTTATGCATATAGCTGATAATCTATTGAAAACGTGCATGGTGGGAAACCCCTGGGAAGAGCCCCATCTCTGCACGGGGCACCAGCAGGAATTCGCACCCTCCCCTCCCGGGGTGCCAGTAACTGAGGACTGAGCCCCGGGCACGGAAGACGCCTGAACAAGCCCCGCTTCCCTGCTGCTGCTCCTGCCGTGTGCGTTCCGTGGCCGGAGCACGTTTCCACGTGCGTTCAGCCAGTGGCCTGTGTTCCCGCTTTGCCACCATCGCTCGGTTGGCCAGCAAGGTGCCACCAGGATCCCTGTGGGTTTCGCCCAGGGGGAAGACCTAGATGGCCGCTGCCGCGCCCTTATTTTAAAGGATCGGCCAGGCCTCTGCGTGGCGTCCCATGGACTGACTCAGAGACTCAGAGATCCTGCCGAGTCTCCCCGGTTCTCTCAAATGTTCCCTTCAGGATGAAACCGCTCTTGGTTCAAGCGTCCAGGCTCCCGTTCCAGGCTCGCTCAGCCTTCTTTCCTGAGAGGGTGGGGGGCGGCGGCGGCTGAGGGTCCCCAGGGGACAGCTTGTGGGTCGCTGCTGAGCGCCCCTCGCAGAGCAGCAGGGAAGTCCGCTGGGCCCACCCAGAGCTGCAGTGGGTGCCGCCGTGCAGGGGGATTGCCTGAAGGCAAGTGGGCCGCACTTCGGGGAGGGGTCTCCTTGCAGAAGCGCCCCGGGGCAGCATGGCTTCCTCTCGCTCTCTCCCCTTAACCCTGTCTCTTCTAGCCCAGGTGCTTCCGGCTGTTCCTAACCCGGTTAACCAATGTCTGTTTTGTTCCCTCTCGCCTTTTCTTCACTGATGATTACCTGTGTCCCTTAATGCAGTGTCATGTAAGTCTGCTCCTCGCTTTGACTTTTCAGCTTTGACCTTATTGCTTATTACTCTCGTACTGTTATCAGCTCTGCAGAAAGCCAGCAGTGTTCTCACTGATTATTTACATTTGGCTGGCTGTTCTCAGCACTTTAATGATGGACTTGTGTAAACTTTTGAAGGTTTCTGTATATGAACTGTGCCAACTTAGCATAAAATAAACCTGGCTTGTCATAGCCCGGTGAAAGCCAGCCTGCAGAAAGGAATTCTTTTTAAAGCGTTGTCGTTGTTCTGTGTTCTGACCTTTCTTGGAATTGGGTACTGAAAATGTATTTCTTCTCTCCAGTGGACAACCAACCGATGCTGCACTACATCCGCGATAAAACCGCTGTCCCTTACTTCTCCAATCTTGTCTGGTTTATCGGGAGCCACGTAATAGAACTGGATAACTGCGTGCAAACCGACGAGGAGTAAGCTCTTTTGATTACTGTCAAGTCGTTGTGAGGAAGGCGGGGACCTGAGCTGCCTGCAGTGTGATCGGTGAAGTCTGCATGAAGCCTCAGCCGTGCGCCGCCTCCAGCGCCTGGCACATGCGGCCACCTCTGAAGAGGCCCCGGCTGCCTCCATTGGTGCAGAAGGCGGCCCCTTTGCTCCCTGTCGGGTCCAAAGGGTTGGATCCTCTTACACCCATGCTGTTTATTTGGCTCCTAGGACATTCTCTGGCCCACCTCACTGGGCCCCAGATACAGGTCTCCGTTATTTGCCGGGCCACCTCCAATCTACCCCTCTTTAAAAAGCCCCCTTAGTCACTTGCTTGTCGATAATGCTGGCAAACGCTCGTCACAGGGCCTTCTTGGTGGCTGCCCCTACCCTCCAGAATTCCTGGGTAGCCCACGGTTGATTCTGGCTGCCACCGATTTAACCAGGGTTTTTATGGCCTTGCACGGGCGGCTTCCCGTCTCCCTTGGCTCCCGTCAGCTGCTCGGCGCCTGGCTGAGGCTCCCTCCAAGGTGCACCTCAGATCTTTGGGCGCTTCCCCATCAAGAAGCCGAGGAGGTTTTTCACGCCCATCCCGAAATGCATTAGAAAAGGAGAGTGGATGTTTTAGCCGAGAATCATGAAATGCATCATGTGGAAGGGATACGGGGGTCTCTTTACTTCCCTCTTTAGCGAGTTCATTGTTTGTGACAACAAATAAAACCTGCTGACAAGCAATCCTTACAGCTTCAGGGGGGTGTCAGTAATTATTGCCTCGTCCATCCGCTGGCTCCCCCGGCCCCCCGAGAGGATCAAGCCAGAATTTCAAGGGGCAGTCATCAGTGCTGTGCCCAGAACGGGAGGCCGGGAGGAGCCGTTTTCTGAGGGGCAGAATCGGGGCTGCGTGGAGTGAAAGAGCTTAAAAGGGCAAAAAGTCGGAGCCACCGTTTGGCTTCCTCTGCCGATCTGTTGCAGGAGAGCTGTGCTAAAGGGTCACGGGCCGTGCGTGCTGCTGCAGGAGTCGGCCCCATTGGAAGCACTGCCAGTTGCTTCTGAGGAGACCCCGGAGGGTCACACAGTTTCTGTGGAAGTTGGCCGACGGGGTGGAGAGAGCAGGCAAGCTGCTCTCCGGACTGTTTGGGTTACAGCCCCTGTCAGCCCCAGCCAGCATGGCTGCTGGTGAAGGCTTATGGGAACTGTAGTCCACAAACCGGAGGGCATAATGTAGCCGGTTCTGTTGCAGCTATGTGCTTGACGCTCTCCTCTGTTGCAGGCACAGAAACAGGGGGAAGCTGAGTGACCTGGTAGCTGAGCACCTTGATCATCTTCATTACCTTAACGATATTCTTATTATTAATTGCGAATTCTTAAACGATGTCCTCACAGACCACCTACTGAATAGTCTCTTCCTGCCTCTTTATGTCTATTCATTAGTGAATCAAGATAAGGTAAGGAATGACCCTATATTTGTTTGTCCGTACGTGAAGTATTTTTGTCCTGCTTCTCAGACAAAAAAGGTTGTTTGCGTGGCTTGCGTGCAATTAATAAAGCAAGCCGGTTTGTACATGCAGACGCAACTTCTAAAAAGACAAGATGCACAAGAAAAACCGGATGGGGAAGAAGAGAAGCAATTAGGTAGTCTTTTGGCAAGACTTCCAATTATGAGTTTAATTGTCCAGTTGCACCCTTTGGATGTAGAAAATAATCATATTGAACAGGCATTTCAGTTGGGGATAAAGGTGGAATGGCACTCTTTTATTTAAAAATGTACACAAGCCAAAAATTAACCTTCTGTAATTAATTGTCCGAGGAAAAAGAGGACCCCTGTTTTGTGTCCATTACCTCATCACTATTCACCACAAAAGAATTTTTGACAGACTAATTTAGGTCATCGCTGTCTATTTAGGAGAAAAATGAGGGAGAAATTAGTTCTTAGCCTAGTTATAAGGAGCTTCCTTCTGCATTTGACCTTGTGCAAGATGGATTTCCTGAAATGAGACAATGGCTGCTTTTCCCAGGAACTGCTGGGGGCTTTTCGGCAAGACACACATGCCGCTCCGAACACACGCTTCTCCGGCATTGCTGAGCATCAAAATGGCCAGCTGGCTGGTTCTGCGACTGAGCAGGAGCCTTTCCACCAGACGGGACGTGCGCGATTCTTGTTAACTCTTCAGGCCTTGGGGCTTTCCTCCGGCCTGCTTGCTGGGCAGAGGGGCCTCCTCTGTCGCCCGCTGAAAGACATCCTATTCAGCTTCTCGTGTGTCCGTGTGTCGCGACAACACGGGCAGCCGCGTTATCCTCAGCCAGAACCTGGCCCATGTAGTCCAGGATTGTCAACACGGATTGGCAACCGCGGCCCTCGGGTTCAGTCGGGAATTTTCCCAGCCCTGCCTAGAGATGCGGGGAGCCTGGGGCCTTTTGCATGCAAAGCGGCGACCCTGCCGCCATGTTGCGCTCCCTGTACCTTTCCTCCCAGGTGTTGCCCTCGGGCCCTGGTGGAGGATCTTGGGATGGCACCTGTTGGCCCACTAAAAGAGCAGAGCGGTGGCTCGTCCAGCTGGGCGGTTCTCCCGATTTCCCCCGCCTGCCTAGAAGGGCCACTATTGTTTGGCACTCCGGTGCTGCACCCCCCTGCTCAGTACCTGGGAAGCACAGGTGGCTGTATGCATCACTGCCCCCCCCCCCGGCTGGAGAAGTGGCCAGCCGCGGTCTTCCAGGTTGGACTGAGGCAGCTTTGCTGGTGGCCGATGCTGCACTTGGCGAGGAACGCGTCTGGCCGAATCGGCAGCTTACACAGGCAGCTTCCGGGCGCACCGAACGCTCCCTCGGACCGACTTTCTTCTGGTTGTGCCAATCAGTGGCCTTCAAGGAGGCACGTGGCAGTTTGTTTTAATCATCTGGTGCCTGGCTCTGGTTTCGAGGGTTGGACTGCCCTGAGACACTGTGAGGGGTGGGATGCAGAAGCTTTAATGGAAAGCCCAGGGAGCAAAAGAGGCGTGGGGGTACGATGGACCTCTAAAATAAAGCAGTTCTGCCGGTCCTACCATCTCCCGACTCCCTTTAATGGGCAGGTGTTTGAAGATGTGGAAGATTAAACCAGGCACTTTTTCTTCCTAATTTTCCCATCGGGGCGATGGATCATTCTGTGGGAGTGTGAATTTCAGTGTGGAAAGTGATCCTGCCAGCTAACAAGCTGCTACCCTTCTGCAGCCCAATGTCTCTCTCACTCTTGTCTCCCCAGGGGGCAGAACGTCCGAAGATCAGCCTGCAGGTTTCTCTGTATCTGTTGTCCCAAGTGAGTGTTAATTATCTGCAGCTGATTTTCGATGGATTGTTGAGAAATTGAGTAATCCTCCTTGGGAGCGAGTGGATAAGATGGCTCAGCGCTGCTGCTGTTGAGCATTTATAGAACGAAAAGCAGGAGGTGGGGCTTGCAGTGAGCGGCTGGGGCAGTTTGGGGAGCCCTGGAAGAGCAGCCGGGTTGTGAGGAGGAGGACGTGGGCAAGCCCCGGTTAAAGAGCCGGTGCAGGCAGGCCGAAGACACACGCCGCGTGATTTGGAAAGGACCGTGCCACTTGGGATCGCTGCTGGGGGACCGTGCATTAGAACAGTCGCCCGTAGTGAAGGCAGGATGCCCTGTGCCAGGAAGCTAGTGCGGCATCGAGAACGGGCCGGGCTGCAGTGGTCCCCTTGCCTGCTGCTTCCTGCTCCCCTGGCCCACGCTCCAGGTTGGCCCAAGCAGCATTCCGTTGGGATTAGCCGAAAGGGGCGCGCGTGGGGGGGAAGGAGGGAGGTGGCAGGGCTGCTGCCGTGGGGAAAGCTGCTGGGGGCGGCAGGGCCTTCCTCGGCCACGCTGTGACCTCCTCTTCTGCGCGCTTCCTCTACTGCCCAGGTGTTCTTAATTATACATTATGCGCCTCTGGTGAATTCGCTGGCGGAAGTTATCCTGAACGGAGACCTGTCCGTGTTCTTTTCGAAAGTGGAGCAAGATGTCCAGAAAAGCTCCGTAAGTAAGCGGGGCACCGCTCCACCCCTGCGCCTCTCGGGTCCCCCAGGCCGGTGGGATGAGCCCGTGCGAGATTCGGGGTGCGTGGCAGAGCACCTGCCCCTTTGCCTGGGAGGCTCTGACGGGCGCTGGGCCGCTCCTCTTTGATGTGCCACATCATCGCTTGTGTTTCCCTTTTTAAGCTGGAATGTTGCCCTCCTCTTGCATGCAAACCGAAAGATAAAAAGAAGTCTGACACACGAAAGTGATCTTGTCTTCTGGGCACATTAGCTCATTCGGTGCCTTGCCCGTTTTTCTTAAGCGGGTTCTGTTATTAGGAAATCTGTGGTCAGGCGCCCATGGCTTTGCTGCAGCAGCAGCAGCAGCTCTACTCCCACTGAAGCGCTTCTGCAGAGTTTCTTAAGTCTGAGGTTTCTTACAGCTCTGGTGAGGCGGGAGGCGGGGATCGTCTTGTAGTAAATGTTGTCATCTTTGGTGGGTTTTCTGTGTAAGCGTAACCTCTCAAAAGGAAGAAATGTGCTAATTCTGCTAATTCGGGACCTCCACTTCCTACCACCAGGGTAGAAAAGATGTGACTTGATCCGCATCCACTGGAAACAGTGCTGTGCACCGAGCTGCACTCAGCAAGCTGAGCAGAAAGCGCCCACGCTGCAGGGCAGCACGGGGGCACCTCCGGGCGAGGGACGGTGTGGACGCTGAGGCTCCCCTCGTGGCACAGCGGCCGCCGTGGGTCCCTCGCCGTGGGGGGTTGTCCCGCCGCCCAGACGCAGTCCGCTCCCTGCAAACTGGCTGCATTCAGCCACCCCGACAGGGCGCGGCTGGCTCAGTCCACGTGTGGCTGGCACGTTGCCTGGAATCGGGGCCGCTTGCCAAGCAGGCCATTGAGGAGGAGTGGCGGGGCCTGCCCCTGCCGCGGATTCAGCCCCTGCCGATCCCCGAGTGGCGCTGGGGCACACGGAGTCCCTCGCTTGTGACATTCCTTTGAAACAGAATGGGAAACGGTGCGGGTGTGTCCGTGCGTGGGTCGTGATCATTTTTGTCGAGCCGCTCACAGCTGTCCCAGCGTGCAGTCCTGCCGCCTCGGTTCTCTGGCGCCTCAGCTGCCAGAAGGGAGTGGGAAGCGAGGCACGGGGCCGCGGGTGGCAGGAAAGGCCTTCCAGTCGGGCAGGCGGCTGCTGGCGGAGGAAGAGCCGGGACTGCACTTCGTGCACGGAGGGGGGAGGTCGCCTCCGGAGCTGCTCTCATCTGAGCAACACGGGAGCGTCAGGCACGTGCCCCCCTTTTTCCGAGCGACGGGGGCTGTTTCGAGGTTTGACTTCAGGTGTTCGGGCCGTCGGGAGGAGCGTGCGTGCCGTGCCCCGAGGCGTTTCCAAAGCGCACGCGGTGTGCGTGTGCCTCTGGCCAGGAGAGGCGGCGGCGGCGGCCCGGCTTTCCTCCACTGCCCAGGGGCCGCGGGTCGCACCCCACCGAGTGAGCGCCGCTCGGGACAGAGCTGCACTCACGTCAGGCGCACCTGCCTTCCTGTCAGATCGGTTTCCACTCGCTTCCTGCCCAGATCGGATGTGGCTGCTTCTGCTGCTTTCGGCTTTTGCTTAACCTACTTTCTCTCCTCTCTGTCGCGCCGAGGTGGTGCTTGGCACGGCCTGGTTTTTCCAGCAGATGTTTTGCCCAAGTCGGAGGCAGGCATGAGTTCCCCCTTGGGCCCAGGGCGGGCGTGTGCTCCACGGCGGAGTCGCCGTAAAGAGCCGTGCGCCTGCTCGTGCACACGGGGACGGAGCCTTGGACTCGGTAGCGCCTCGGCATGCGCAAGCACCTCCAGAGCCGAGATTCCGCCCTTCCTGCCTGCCCAGCACGCTTGGCCCAGGCTGCTCCCGTGAAGCCACGGGGAGGGCTGGAGGCAGGACCCCCCGCGAGGCTGCTCCTGGCCCTTGGGCCGCCTCCTGGCTGGGCCAGCCGCGGGACTCCTGCTGAGCAGTCCCTTTCAGAGGAACTCGGAAGTGCTGCTTTGGGCGCAGGACTCGTGGCTTGGAAGGGGACGCGAGGCGAACTCTTCCAACAGCCTGGCACTGCGGCGTCCCGGGATCTTGTCCTGGGACAGCGTTCCCTGAGCCGTCGCCTTGGAGCCTGACCCCCAGAGAGGCCCAGACGTTCTCTGCCCAGCAGCCCTCACAGGGCTGCAGATGCCTCCTCTTCCCCGCAGAGACTCGGCACAGGGAGGTGCTGCAGGCAGCCGGGCATCAGCTGTCCCTCTTCCAGCCCTTCCTGGCCCGACCTGCAGCTTGCTGAGTCTCGGTCTCTCGCTGTCCCGGACGAGGAGCCCTTTTGGTTCCAAGAGGACGGGGGCAAGTTCTGAGCGTGGGGCTGCCACCGTTTTGGGCACGTCAGGCCGACGGCTCGGCCCAGGCGTGTGGCTGGGAAACGCGGAGCTGCCGCCCTGCCAGCAGCTAAGGGGCATGCATGTTCACCCCGCCATTGCAGGCCAAGACGGGCCTCCGATGCTTCATTAAGCCCCCCGAGACCCTGGAACGGTCCCTGGAAATAAACAAGCACAAGGGGAAGAAAAGGCTGCAGAAGAGGCCCAACTATAAAAATGTCGGGGAAGACGAGGAAGAGGAGAGGGGCCCGGAAGATGCCCCGGAAGGCACGGAGGGGCCTTCCAAAGGCATCCGGCCGAGCGGGGAGAACGAAGGTGAGTCTGCAGCACGGAACCGTCCAAGGGCTGGCTCCTGGGCCCTGCTCTCGCGTGGATGTGGGCGCCGCCGTGCGTCTGGGCAGCCCCCCAGGGACGTGAGGACTGAACAGGCTTCCCCGCCTGGGCGCCCCCCGCCCTCGCAGGCAGCCATTCCACCTCGCGGCCCCTGCTCTGCGTGGGGTCGTGGCCCGGGCGCTCCGTGCCCGCTGCTGCAAGCCGCTTGGAGCGGCCTTGGCTGGAATGGCGGCCCCACTCTGCTCGGCGCAGCCCCTCGTGCTCTGCAGTGGGGCCGGCCTGGCCTCAGGCCCCCCCAGGCCGCTTGCCTTCCTCTCCCGCGGATCGCCGTGGGCCATCCAGTGGCATGTGGAGGTGCAGGGGGCGATTCTCGGATGAGATGCAAGAGGTCAGCGCCAGCTGGCCCCGAGGATGTGCCCCCTTTCAGCGGCTGCTGGGCGAGGCCAGGCTTCCCGGCCCGGGGCCCCTTCCTCTTCCGGCGCTCCGGACGGCCAGTCCGCCCAGCTGGAGCCTCCCTGCGGTGCTCTTTCCCACCAGAAATCGAGATGGTGATCATGGAGCGGTGCAAGCTGGTGTCAGTGACCGAGCAAAACATCACCGACGAGGAGAAGAGCGCAGCGGCCGCCGAGATGCCCCAGTGGAACAGGTCTGTCCCGAGACGGCGCTCAGCCCGGCCCCAGCTGCCAGGCCAGTCCGGCCTCGCCAGGCCCGGCAGCAGCAGGGCAGGCAGGTTTCTCCTCCCACACGAACCTGCATGGCCTCTCAGGGGTCCTGCTCCTGCCCCCTCTTCTTCTGAGGCAGAGAAGACGGCAGGCGAGCTCCTCGGGGCGGGGGGGGCGGAGTGCCCAGGGCTGCATCTTCCGTCCATCTGGACACAGACCTCCTGTTCCTGTTCAGGGTGCAGCCCTGCTCTCCCTGCCTCCAGCGGACCCCCCACCAGGCGCCCCATGGAAAGGACAGGACCACTGCCACTGTTTTGCAATCTCTGGGGTGGGGGGGGGTGTTGTTTCGATTTCCTTTTGCATGTATTGGTCCTAAGTTGCTAGAAAATCCCAGAGGATGCAGAATAGGCGTGTGCCGGCCCCCCAACCTGCCCTGCCTCCAGGCACATGGTCCGTGCGGATGGAGGGAGGCCCGGCGGCACGTGGGCCCGGCGGTGATCCTGCCCTCCCTGTCCACGCAGGCCGTTCCTCGAGATGGTCTACAACGCGCTGGAGTGCGCCGACTACGACTACTATGCGCTCTTCGTGCTCTGCCTCCTGTACGCCATGTGCCACAGCAAAGGTAAGGTGCTGGGGGGCGTGGGGGGGCTGGTCCGTCAGGTGCAGCTTGCAAGGGGAAGGGAGCGGGGGGCCCCCTTGGCGACGGGCAGCGCCCTCTTCTGGGGCAGCGCAGTGCCCGTGCCTCAATGGGGGGGTCTCGCCCCCGGGGGGCGTGTGTGTGCGGGGGCCCTGTGCCGCCTGGCTGGCTCCGGGCCTGCGGGGGGCTTTGCTCCCAGCTGCCCAGGGCCGAAGTCGCTGTTGGGAGACTCACAAGAGGCGGAGGGTCTCGGACCCCGGCCTGGCAGGAGCTGCAGGGGATGGTGCTGCAGGCTTCCAGGCCCCCGGGCCCTTCCCTGAGCCCCCGTTGCGCTCGTCCGCTGCCTTGGCGTGCTGTGGGGGGACTTCTGTGCCACACAGACTCCTCCTTGTTGAGGGCTCTCGGCACATGATCTCGGGGTGCCAGTGGAGGATTTCCAGGAAGCCGGAGTGGACGTGACTCCTCTGCCGTGATGGCATGGTAGTGAAAGGGGCCCTCCTGTGCTGAAAGGCACGAGTGGGGGGGCTGAGCCTGGCAAAGGGCCTCTCGTTTCGCAATTGCGATGGCCCCCCGTCACACCTCTGGAGGCAGCACTCGGCTGAAGTCACTGCTTCGGGCATCCTTTGAAATATTAGCAAATAAAAGTTGCATTTGAACGTGGGCAAAGAATTTTTGTTCCCGCCACGTGCCCAGCAGAGTATTCCCACATTTTGCATGATCCACTGGCCTGCTTTTAATTTCCAGCTGGGCCGCCTTTTTTCTTGGCGGGTTTGTTTATACGCCGGCAGAGTTTGGACTGGCAAAGCGAGGGGGCCGTGAGCTGGTGAAAGGAGCGAAGCCGCCCGGGTGGGGCCCATTCCCCGCTGGGAACAGTTTCTGGGCTACCTTCCATCGTCTGTGGGAGGGGTGAGGGCTGAGCCGGTTGGGACTGGTTCTGCCTTTAGGCCTGTTCAGGACTGTGAGGCTGGGCGCATCCCCGAGAAGTCGGCTGGCCGGACTGGCCCAGCGGCTCTGAGCGGCATCCCTGGCTCATGAGCGAGCACGAGCATCGTGCCCACTCAGAGGCAGGCTGGGCTGAAGCGCTCTGCAGCGCCCTCCCCACCCTGCCCCTCTCACTGGCGGGCCCAGGCTCTTCCTCTGATCCGCCGCTCATCCGCAGAGGGAGCTCCCCCGGCTAGGAGAGGCCTCTGTGAGCGCGCTCCAGCCCTCGTCCCTCGGATAGCACCTGGGGAAGGAAAGAGCGGGGCGGTTTGTTCTGCAGATGGAAAGCTGCCCCTTGTATTCGGATGCACCATGGACACTGTTTGAAATGGTCGGCGGTTTTCGGCTGCAAGAAGCACCTTCTGGGGACCAGGAGCATACTGGTGATGGGTGGATGGGTGGGTGAGAGGATCCTCAGTCTCTCTCCCTCTCCCCCCCCCCTGTGCGTGAGTGAGAGAGCGAGAGCGCACGCGAGCGAGCACTGACTGATCCCGACAAGGTGTAGTCAGGAGGATTCCTGCGCCATGATTCCATTCTCCGGTATCTGGGAGGCCGCCATGGCTTAGCTGGGGGAGTGGAAGCCCTGGGCGAGTTCTGGAGCTGCTGGGGCCAGCTGAGCCCCTGCGTGCCGTCCAGCAGCACCTGGCAAGCAGGCAGGGTGGGCAGAGCTGTGCGGGGAGAGGCAGCCTCTGCCTCCTCCTGGGCTGGGGGGAGGCTGGGGCCCTCCCGACTCAAGCGGCTGCGCTTTGGCAGTGTGGTGTGGCTTTGGGCAGCAGCCCCAGCGCTCCCACTGAGTTCCCAGGTTCTGGAAATCAAGATGGTTGGAAATCTGGGATCAAACGTGCTCCTGCAAGCACCTTTCCTTTGGATAGGAGCACTGGCAGGCTGCTGCCTGTTCCCGCTCCCGATCCCACGGGATGCATGGGCGTAAAATTTGCATGGGGAATTCCATATCTGCATAAACTATGTAGGGACTGTTTCCAGAGTTCATTGAATTTTTGCAGCAGGCCAAGATAGGCAATTAGTTTCCATGGGAGTGGCTTGTGAGAAAATGGACGGGACGCCCTGAGAGAGCAGGGCAAGAGGTGCCGGGGGTGGGGAGCGGCAGTGGCGGCAGGGGCTGCGCGAAGCCCAGGTGGCTGGGCAGGACGGGCCCTCCCCTCAGAGAGCAGTTGGCCAGCCTGTGCATTGAGGAGGCACCAGAACTGGCCACTGGCTGGAGGCTTGTGCTGGAGAGCATCCCTCCCGAGCATGGCCTAACAGCCTTCCGGTAGCAGTTACACGGTTGGGAGATGGAAGGTGGCGCCGAGCCGAGTTGGCCGGGGCGGGAGCGAATGAGTCCCACCTCCTGGGAGCCGATGGAAACGGACGGGGAGCCTCTTTGGTGCGCGATGCCCCGCGCTGCCGCACTTGCGATCGAGCAACTGGCAGCGGAGCGGGTGCTTTTCCCAGTTCAGTTCCTGCTGGTGGTTTCAGGGCTCCTCAGTCTTGCCAGTGCCTCGAAATGGCCACAAATGCCTTTCCCGTTTCTCCGAAGGAATCGAGCCCCTCACGCTGGCCAGGATCCAGCTCTCGGCCCAGGATGCAGAGGAGAAGAATGCGTACAACCACGTGCTCGCGGAAAGGCTCATCCGGATCATGAACTACGCCGCTCAGCCAGGTAGAGCGTCTGCCGCCCGCAGGGCGCCTCCTCCGCAGCAGCTCCCCACCCCCTGGCCCTGCCGTGTGGGTCAGCTCACAAACCCCGTAGTTGCGCGGAAAAGTGCACGTTTCAGTCCAGCGCCTCCGAAGGGCATCGTACTGGGAAAGTGCAGTGCGAAGCAACACTTTATGAGCCGGAGGACCCTCACCGAAGGGCGCGCTTTATTTTACCTGTGTTCTCCAAGCCAGCACCCCAGAGCGCATGGTGGCAGCCAAAGCTCAAATCCCCAAATGCTAAAGCTGTGGGACAGCAGGCGGGGGGAGCGCGGGGGGCCCGCAGTCGCCAAGGCCCGAGCACGCACATGGGTCGTCATGAGGCCCGGAGCCTGGCGGGGCCGCCACGGCCCCTCCTTCCAGGCAGAAGCCTCAAGTGGCCAAGCTGGGTCAAGGCGCCACGGGGCCTGCTCCTTCCAGGGGGTGCAGCACCCTCCCCCCATCGCCCGCCAACGGCGCCTCCGGCTCATCCGGATCGCCCTCCCGCTTGGTTAGCCCTCCTGCAGCCTGGTTGTGGGCATGTCGCCACGGGCCCCAGTGCGGAGGGCGGTCCCCTGACCCACGCCTCTCTTTCTGACGACAGACGGCAGGATCCGCTTGGCCACGCTGGAGCTCGGCTGCCTCCTGCTCAAGCAGCTGGTGATGTCCCGGCATGGCAGCATCATCAAGGGGGTCCACCTGGCCTGCTTGGAGGTGCGTGTGCGCTCGCCCGCCCGCCCTCGCCGCCTCTCTGGCCGCGCCAGGGCCTTCCGGGGCGCACTCGGAGGAGTTCGTGGCGCCCGCTGGCCCTCCCCTCTGCGCAGTGCGTGGCTGCTCCTCCCGGGGCCGGGCCGGGCCGGGCCGCAGGCGTCTCGGGGGGAGGTCCAGCTGTGCCTCCGGGGCGCCCCGGGACTGTGCTTCCCCCGAGGGAGGCCCTTTGGCCCAGTGACAGGGAGCACATGAAGCAGTGGCTCTTGGCCTCCGTAGCCCGGAAATGCCCGCCTGCCCCTCGGAATCGGGAAGAGCAGGGCGCACGAGGGAAGAGGCATTGCTTCCCGCAGCGGCCTTCCACCCCCGCCTCCGTCCTGTGAGCCGGCCCACGACCCCTGTAGCTATGTGGAGGGCTGCAACTTCCAGTCCAGTACATCAATCAGAAGGGCGCCAGGTCGGGAAAGCATGGTCTAAGGCAACATTTTATGAGCTGGAAGACCCTCACTGTAGGGCACCCCCCCCCCCCCGCCAGCTTGCCTCCTTGCCGGAGAAGGCCGTGAGGAGCGGTGGCGGGCAACCCAGCTTGGTTTAGGGTCTCGCTGCCGCTTTAGATACGGCGTCACATCCGCATCGTCCCAAGCTCTTTTCTCAAGAGTTGGTGCCTCGACCCGGAACTGGATCGCTTTCTTTTCCTTCTAGGGTGCCAGAGAAGAAAGTGTTCACCTGGTGCGGCGTTTTTATAAGGTATGTGCCTCACTTTGTGTTTCCCACACCACCCTGCTCGGGAGAGGGTGGGGAGGCAGTGGGGACGTCGGAGCCGTCTCCAAGAGTCCTTGTGGGGCCGGCGTGGGGCTGGCCCTTCAGTGGGCAGGGGAGCAGAATGCCAGGGGCAGGGCCGGCCAAGGGCCCCCGACGAGCGGAAAACGGCTTTACTACCCTAGAGAGTTTGTGGAAAGGGATCGTGCGACTCACTTGTTTTCTTTCAGGGAGAAGAAATTTTTCTGGATATGTTTGAAGATGAATACAGAAGTATGACTGTAAGTCACTCGAATGGAGCAGGACGGATTGTGTGGATGTGACTCATCTGCGATTGCCCCATCTTAATGGAAGGAGCGTTCCTGGCACACGAGTCCAGTGCACGGAAACACTGGCACAGCACCTTATTCAAATTCCACAGCATTTGCAAATGGAATTTATGTAACTGCTTTTCATAACCATTGCATTCATGCTGGAACGGCAAGGAGCGCGTGTCAGTTCGTGCCGCCTGGCCTGCCAGCTCCACAGAGATGGGGACCGCTCTCCGTGCGGTTGGCCGGGGAAAGCGGGGAGCTGCCGGACTCGTGTCTCGGGATGCGGCGGCAGGAGAGCGGGGGAGGCTCCAATGGGGCAAGGCCCCTCGTCAGGCAGGGCCCCCGCTGGGGTCTCGCCCGGGAATGCAAGGGGATTGTGGGACGGCACACGCAACGCGGGCAGCCCCGGACGTGAACACCGCTGGGAACGGCGCTCCCCTCTCGTGCTTCCGTGGGCCGGCCCGTCTCCAGCTTTCGCGGGCTGCCTGCGGAATTGGGTCGCGCGCTGAGGGTCCGATTCCTTCCCCAGCTGAAGCCCATGAACGTGGAGTACCTGATGATGGACGCCTCCATCCTGCTGCCGCCAACGGGGACGCCGCTCACGGGGATCGACTTTGTGAAGAGGCTGCCCTGCGGAGACGTGGAGAGAACGCGGAGGGTGAGGGCCTTCGCGCTGCCTCTGCCCCGCGTTTCGGGTCCTGCCCGTCCTCCAAGCCGCTGGTCCTCTTCTCCTCCTCCCTCAGCCTCACAGCCGCTCCAGCACGGAGCCCCCGTGGGGATGGCCCCGTCACGGGTGGGCCACGGGAGCAGGGGCGGGGCCGGGGGGCTTCCGTGGGCCGGATGGACACGGGCGTGAGCCGGTGCCCCGCAGCGCGGCTGGCCCTCGGGTCTGCAAGCGCCGGCTGGGAGGGCGGCTGCTGTGCCCGAGGCTTCTCACGGTGGGAGAGCTGGGAAGGGCCGGGGCAGGGAGCCGTGGCTCGGGGCGCGAGCCGGCCCTCCACCTGGCTTCTCCCGCGGGGCGGTGGGCAGGCGGGCGGGCGGGCAGAGCCAAGCACGTGGCATCCCACCCACCCACCCACCCACCCTCCGGGAAGCCTGGATGGGGCAGGAGAGGGGCCGCGGGTCTCGCAGGAGGAAGGGCCCCGGGGAGGAGCCGGGCACAGTGGGCCCTCACCCCCGTAGCAGCCGGCGGCCCCGTGTTTTGGAAGGGTGGAAGTGCGGCGAAGAGGCACGTGCAGCGTCACGTGGTGCAGAGCCGGGGGGGGGAGCTCCCGTCACCCGCGGCCGCTGCATGCTTGCCCAGGGAGCCCCAAACCCGCCTCCGGATCGCGGGAGGCGCACGGCCGCTGAGGCTCGCCGGCAGTCGGGACCGAGATCGGCGGAGGAGGGAGCGGAGCGGAGCCGCTCTTCAGAGGCCCCTGGGGGGCGGCCTCCCCCTGCTTGTGCAGCACGTGTCCCGGTGCTTCCCACAGCCTCCTGCCCGCTTCCTGGCAGGCTGCAGTGGGACGCCGGGCCCTGGGGTCGCTTCTCCCCTGCCCCTGCCCCAGGCACAGCTAACCTCCTCAGAGCAGCAGGCCGGGCAGCCCAGCATGGCTTCCTCCCAGAGTTCCCGCTGGGAAGGTGGCCCGGCCCCTTCCGTGCGCAGCGCCGTGGGTGCAGGCTTGATTTCCGCGTACTGATGGCTCGCACAATCGTATCGGAGGCCTGTATCCTTCTGGCATACAAAGAAGGCGTTCTCTGTGGCAAGAAGGGAATGCACGGTGGCGAGATCGCCTGCATCTCGACAACATTCTTGGAAATAGCAGCTAGTGAGCCAGTCTCTCTTCTTCAGACCACACAGGCTGTTATCTCTTATCTCGTTTGTTCTCACACAAGTGAATTTCTAGGAAAGCAGAAGGCCTTGTTCCTTGAACAGAGCTGATTCCTTTTAAAAGCTTTTCTGATTAGCCAGAAACATGTGAAGAGGTTTGCTCGACGTTCGAAAGCACTGGGCTGCTCTCCCTGGCCGTTCTTAGGCGTGCTCCTCCTGCAAGGCAGCTGAAGCAAGGCCAGAAACGTGGAGCTTGCTGCTCTTCTTTCCACTCTCCCCAGAAACAGAGAAGGAAAACTGCCTCTTGACCACCCCATTTGGCCCTTAAAAGCAGGCTGCGTCCCAGGGAAGTGCCCCGGCAAAGCCGTTTTAAAGAGTCCCTTTTGCATGTCTCTTGTGTGGAGAAAGCCGCTTCCCACCAAAGGCTCTGCCAGAGCTTTCCCACCAGCTGGGGGGGGGGGGGACTCCACCTGCTCCCTCTCCTGGGCAAGCACGGCCCTTTTCCAGTTGTCCAGAGCCGACGGTGGTTATTCGCCTCATGCGGAGCGAAGGGCTGGGACGCACGCAGCTCTGGAAGCACAGATGCCACCCTAGCCGAGGTGCTGGAGGGGCTCCATTGGCCGCCAGCTTCGTCCCACGCTCAGCTCGGGACGCCGAGCTTGGCCTCCAGATTCCTTAAAGGTCCGAACTCATGGGTACTGGGAGAGGGCCGACCTTTCCGGGTGACCCTCCCTGCAGCTCAGGGGCTCCCCAGGTGGGCTCCCCAGGTGGGCTCCCCAGTCCACCCCAAGGTTGCCAGGGCGGCATGCCTTTACCCAGGGCAGGGCTCCTCAGCAGCTCCGCCAGGATGCCGACGCAGCGTTTGCCCCGCACCCTCCTTCCCGGTTTTCTGGAGCCCGGGTCAGTTGGCTTTGTTTCAGACCCCTGTGGGGACTCCACATTGCAGGGGGACGTGTGTGAGGGTCCTTTCCCCTCTCTGGTTGCGCTGTGCTGCATTGTTCTGCTGCCGGCGCTCTGTCTGCCAGTCGGTTTGGTTTGCTGAAGGGCAGTGGTTGCTTGACCCACCGGGGCCCCAAGGGCAGGATCAGAGCGGTTCAGAACGAAGAGAACGTCTGGATGCAGGGAGAGGCGGGGGGACTGAAGGCCACCTCCTCTGTGTCCGCGTTGGGCCTGGTCTTCCACAGGGACCGGCCCTTGGGTGCTCAGCCAGTGCCTGCTCCCCACACGCCTCGCCTCGCCTCGCCTCGCCACGTGGGGCCCGGGGCAGGTTTCCAGGCGCCTCCCTTCTGCTGCCCTTCCCGTCCCTTCCCCTCCCCACCCTGTTTATGTCACTTTGTACACCCAGCCAGCCAAAACAGGGGAAGACTTTTAAGACAGGCTCTTTCCAAGAATCCCGGATAGCCCCCAGTCCAGGAGTTCGTTCTTCCAAGCGCCCGCATCCTGTCCCAGCCCCCCTGCCTGTCCTCCCAGCCGCCTCACTTCCACCATTCAGAAATTTAGCTCCTGACCTTTCACATCTCTCTGCATTCCTTTTGGGTGATGACTTTGCTGCCGGGGCAGATGTTTTGGCCTTCGGCAAATCTCCCGCGCTGTAAAATGGGAGCGTAGTCCACAGTTGCTCAGGCCCAAAGCGAGGAAGCACTGCCCCTCTGCCTGCGGCCTCACCTGTACCCCCGAGTGGGTGGCATCGTGCCCCACCGTCGCACCCACCCCACGCCTGGTTTCGAGCGTTGCGTGTCGTGTGTCAAAGGCAGGCAGAGGCTGCATTCGCTGTTTGAATTGCGTTGGGTTTTCTTCTCTTTTTTGGCAGGGGGTGCAAACAGCCTTGGTTATGTTTCGTGTGGTGGTGTGGAAAAGCTTGCGGAGAACACTTGTAAAGGTGTTCCTTGGGTGGAGGGCCACGGCCAGAGCCGGAAATGCTGCGGCCCCGTCTCAGGCCCGGTCCTGTGCGTTTGGCGCCAGGCCTGCATCGCCAACTTACTCAAACCAGAAAAGGCGGCGGGGGGAGGATGGGGGGGTGCAGGACGGGCCCTTCTGTCGTGCGGCGGTGCTCAGGACCGGCAAGCCAGCGGTTTGGCTTCAACCACAGTGTCCTGTTTTTAGGAGTGAGCGTGCTTTCTTCCTTTTTCGAGCAAGGACCTGTATTTTTTTAATCCCTGGCACCTTTTCCCGTCAGGCGATCCGAGTCTTCTTCATGCTGCGTTCCCTGTCGCTGCACCTCCAGGATGAGCCAGAAACCCAGCTGCCCTTGACACGGGAAGAGGACTTAATTAAGACGGATGATGTGCTCGACTTGAGTGAGTAGCTGCCCGTGGCTCCCAGAGACCACCTGGGCTGTGCTTTCCTAGGCAGCCATCACGCCATTCATAATCCGGAGGGGCGGGAGCCGAAACAGAGCAGCAAACTGCATCTCCTGGGTATCTCCCTCCTAATTTTGGGAGCTGCTGGCCAACACACCTGTAGGGCACCAGGTAGGAGAAGAGCGCTGGAGAAGAGGAGACGTGCATTTTGCAGCTGGGGGGAAGCCGGTTCCCGGCAGTCCCAGCCTCTCTGGGCACATGCACCCTTGTGTGCATGTCCGAATTTTTGGTGGCCTCCCCGTTTGGGGATAGGTTTTAAAAAAAAAGATAGTTGCCACAGTAACACTAACTGGAAGCTATGCATCCCAAAATAGCCACACCAGATTCTGGTAATGCCTCGCTCTTTTGTTATGAAAATAAATTGTGTATGCTAGGAAATGTAGTGTCTTGGCACACACCATGCATATTAATAGGGAATGTCAGTCATCGTTGCCGTAATAATTTAAGGGAAATCGTCTCACTGTAACGCGTGTCCTGGGCTAGGCCGCCCGTGCCCCTGACCCAGCCCGACACCGGGCACTGCCCTAGCCTCGCCGCGGCAGCCGGCCTGGGGCAGGGAGTCTGCGGTGCCTCCCTGTGCCCCACATCTGCACGCGCCCTGCCCTGCCCTGCCCTGCCCTGCCCTGCCGGCTTCCAGAAGAGAGTCTGGGGCTGGAGGGGCGTTGCACACCCCTCTGAAAATCGGGGTCCGCAGGCCAAGCGGCACCGGCCGCCCCTCATCCAGAGGCCTGGGAAACGGCCCCCGCCGGTGGTGCCGGAGCTTACGGCGGCCAGCAGGCCCTGCCAGCCCCCCCCCAGCCCCAGTCACCCCCACCCGACTGCCTCCGGAGCAAGGCAGCATCTTCCCTTGAAAGGGCAGCACACGAACTGCACCGGAACTGCCGCCCCAAAGCCCCACTGGGGGCGCTTTGGCTCGGCAAAGCCAAGCCCTGTGCCCTTGGTTTCCAAACGAAAAGGTGGCTTTTTCTCGGGGCCACTGCTTGCCACTGAGGGCAGGACGGGGGGCTGGGCGTGGCCCCCGCCCAAAGGGCTCTGCCTTTGGCACGCGTCCGCATGCCTTTGCCGGGCCCCCGCACGGCTGCCCTCCTCGGGGAAGCAGCTGCGGCCTCTCAGCCGAGGCACTGGGAGCCCCGGCAGGAGGCGCGAGCCGCGTGGGAGCCGGCCAGGGCCGTGCACGCGCTGGAGCGTGCGGCGTGGGGGATTGGTGCCATGCGCCGGCCCAGCTCCGCTCGGCGCCCCGGCTGGCATCCCCTGGCTTCGCAAGGCGGCAGGACCCCGGGGAGCCCGCCCTCCTCCGAGGAGACGGGCCCGTGCCTCGCGCGGTCCTGGGCGTCGTGTGCGGGCTCCGACTGGGCCCTGTCAGGAAACAGCCTCCCGGCGCAGAATTTAAGCAAGCAGCTTGTAAACTGACTGGAAATGCGACTGTAATGTCTCTGTCAGGTATTTTATATGGATGTTCTTGAAGCAAATCAAATTGCAGCGTTCTTTTTTTTTTTGCTTTCAAATGGAATGATGTCGTTGTTTCCTGCATATTGATTGTTTGATTGGTACCTGCCCCCCACCTTTTTATTTTCAGTAATGCTCATTGACGTGGTTTAATGTCTATTCCTGTAACCTCCTGTTCTACGGAACAGTCACAGTTGAGCATTAAAGGTGCATTAAAGCTCATTTTGCCATTCAGTTTCCCAGTCTCTCGTCTGAACGCACAAGCCGTTCTCCGCCCCCCGATACGTCCGCAGTGGCAAAGATTAAGTATCAGACTGGCTGCTTTTCCTGGAAATCCAAATTGTTTCTTGTCTGTGGAGACCAGTCAGGCCCCCACTGCGATTCTGCTGCGTGCAAGGGAGAGAGGGAGCGCTCTTCTGGCGTTGACTGGCCCCAGCCGAGGCCCCGAGCCCCGTTGCTCCGCGTGCGTGTGGACCAGGGATGAAGGGCCGGGCGGTTCTTCCGTGCCTGCTGCGCGTGAGCCGGTCCAACCCAGAAGGTTCTTCCTCCGCACACAGTGAGGCCCCTTCCTCTGCGCGCCGGACACGGCTAAGCCAGGAGCCTCACGGCGTCCGGACCGGGCCGCCCTCCTCTCCAAGGAAAGGGGGGCACGCCTGCCTTTGCGTGGCATAGTGTCCCGAGTGACGCTGTGGCTGATGAGCTGTGCGCTTCTCCCAGATCGGGGGGAAGCCCTCTCCCACTGCGGAGGGCTAAAGTGGTTCCGAGCAATGAGCCAGCGGCGGGTGTTAAGCCCTGCAGGCATCTCGGCCCGGCCCTTCTGGGCCGGCAGCGGCTCGTGACGTGTCCCTGTGGGGCCATCCGCCAGTGGCTTCTCCTCGGGAGGGCAGTGGGGAAGGTCGCAAGGGGAGATGCCCACTGCAAATTGGCACCCCTCTCCACGGGGTCAGTTCGGGGCACCTTTGGCCGTCTCATCCGCCAGGGGAGCGCAAACCGGCCTGCAGCCCCTTCTCCCCCAACCCTCCACTTTCTTTCCCTCCCTCTTCTGCTTCAGACAACAGCGACCTAATTGCCTGCACGGTGATCACAAAAGACAGCGGCCAAGTCCAGCGGTTTCTGGCTGTGGACGTTTACCAGATGAGTCTGGTGGAGCCCGATGTCGCCCGCTTGGGCTGGGGAGTGGTTAAATTCGCAGGTCTTCTGCAGGTGAGTGCAGAGAGGACGACTGAGGCAACGAGGGCCCGGCTGCAGCCACGGCAAGGAGGGGGAGCCACAATTACCTTGGAACAGGGCCGCTCCTTAGTCACCCGTGCCGAGCGGGGGGTGCCTCCCGGCGCCGTGGCACAAGCCACGCCGAGGGCTGCTGCCTTGCTTCGGCTCGTTGCCCAGCCGGGAGGAAGAGCCTCTGAATGGCTTGCAATGGGCCCATTTCGTCGGGGCTCATTTGGGGGGAGTCCTTTCCTTGTGCTGGTCTGCCTGGGGAGCCAAGGTGAGATCAGCAGCCCAGTTTGCCGTGAATGTGCGGGCCGAGCTGCCGTCAGGCTGAAACGGGCGCTCGGCAGAGAAGGAGCTGGTGTGGGACACCGCGCCCTGTGGCCACCTGTCCCCGTGCAGGGAGCTGCCCTGGGGTGGCCCTGGCGCACACAGAACCTTCCCCCGCAGCTTATCAGTTCACGGTTCATTGCAGGATTTGTGTGGCAGACGACGAAGCCGAGTTTGCTTCTCTCACTCCCTGGGGCCTTATTTCCCGCTTCCTCCCCCCGCTTCCTTCCTTTACTGCAGACCCCTTTGCGACACAGTAGTACCGACACGGCGAGCAGCTGGGTTTTCTGGAGCCCGGTGAAACAAACCAGGGTTCTCAGTTCGCACGTAGCAAGAGCCGGTGCTCCAGACTACCCACTGACGAGCTGTGGGTTCTTTCCGGCTGAACCTGGCTGGAATCTGGGGTTCGCTGGTGCAGCCTGCTCGCCCGCTAGGGCAGCTCGGCATCCGCCCCGGGTGGATGAGCCCCCGGGCCGGCGTTCGTGTGAGCCAGGTGGCAGGCGGGGTCTCCTGCAGCGTGCAGCACAGCAGCCAAAGGCGGCCTTGTCCCTCCTGTCTTTCCCGCAGGATATGCAGGTGACGGGCGTCGAGGACGACAGCCGGGCCCTGAACATCATCATCCACAAACCGGCCTCCAGCCCGCACTCCAAGCCGTTCCCCATCCTCCAGGCCATCTTCGTCTTCTCCGATCACATCCGGTGCATCATCGCGAAGCAGCGCCTGGCGAAGGGGCGCATCCAAGCCCGGCGGATGAAAATGCAGCGAATCGCAGGTACGCCTCCTCCGCCTGGGCCTCACTCATCCATCCCCACCTGGAGCATCTCGGCTGGGCTTGTGGGGCTTTGCAGGAGGCCTTCCCCGTAAAGGTTCCGGGCCTCCTCGTCCCCCACGCAGCCAACCCAGATGGCAGCAGCCAGAGCCGCCTGTTTAGCCATTCTCAAGCAGCGCTGCTCCCTGGAGCGCCTCCCGAAGCGCGCGACTCCGTGAGTGCTTCGCGTCGTTTCGCTTCCGGAGCTCTGAGTGTTGGCTTTCCTGCACACCACACGCCTCAGAGACTCTTTCCCCCCATTCCTTTCACGTGAAGCGTGGTCCTCGCAGCACCAGGCTGTGGGAAAAGTGCGACATTGAGCCTGGCGAAGGAGTCGGGGGCGCAAGCGCAAGGCAGCTGGGATGCGGACGGATGTGGCAAAGCCAGACGGTGTGAGCGCCAGCCAGCCGGGCGTTTGAGCAGGCAGCGCCGGCTCTCCCGAGGCCTTTAGAGCAATCTCCACCTGCTGCTCCTGCTCGAAACACAGGAACAGCGCGAGCCAGGAGGGGTCCCCGGGCCATCTAGTCTGACCCCTGGCTCCAGCCGGCTCCACTCCTGCAGTCCCCAACACGTGGGCGCCCGATCTTTCCTTGAAGGCCCTCACTGATGGGGCCTCCACCGCCTCCCTGGGAAGCCCATTGCATATTCTAGGGGTCCTAACCCCCAGGAAGTACTTCCTGGCATCCAGCCTGAAGCCTGGTTCCTTGAGCTTTGCCCCACGGGGACGCATCCCGCCCTCCACTCCATTGCTTTCCGTGTTGGGATGATTGTTGCCACTTTTAAAACTCGGAAGGAGCGGATGTGTTTTATCATTGGGTTTATTGTATTTATTTTTATCATGTACGTACAGCTTCAGCTATAGGATGATTCATAAATCGAACATGGTGAAAATGATAGGCTCTGTGCTCTGTTTCACGCAGCTCTTCTAGACCTTCCGGTCCAGCCCACCAATGAAGTGATGGGCTTTGGACACAGCTCTGCTTCTGCGGCTCAGCACCTGCCATTCCGGTTTTATGACCAAGCCCGGCGTGGCAGCTGCGACCCTGCCGTCCAGCGCTCCGTCTTTGCGTCTGTCGATAAGGTCCCAGGTAAGGGTCCTCTTCCCGGCACTCCTTAGATAAGACCCCGTATCAGGCGGTCCTCAGCCCGGTGGAAGTGGAAAGGACAGGCCAGTGAAGCGGGTGAGTTCATTCTTCCTGCTGCCGTGTTGTTCCTCTTTGCCACGGCTCCTCCCTCATCCACTGGGGTAAGCGACTCTTTTCCTATCTCTGGCTTATGAAACCGTGTTCACTCGTTGCTTTCACACGTACTGATCTGCCCTGCATGGTACGATATGTAAAGCAGAGGCAGCACCAAGGGAAGGGACAGGGAAACGCAGAGGTGGAGGAAGAAAGAGAAAATACGAAGGTGGCGTGCAGGGCGAGGGGTGGCAGGCGGTTTGGGCATTTCTCCGAGTCCTTCGTCCGAAAAGAGTTCCCACAGTTCTGCCAGGTGTTCTGCATTTCATCCCGTGCCCCCTCTCCTCGTGGACTGCGCATTCCTGAGTTGCGAGCGGCAAGCTGGTGCATGTCGGGGAAACGGGGGGCTCCCCACACGGGGGGCGCTGTCTGGCCACCGGGGCTGCAGTAGAAGGCCCTGCCTCCTCCAGCAAAGCTCGTGCGTTGCATTGCTTTATGGGAGAAAGCACGGGAAGGGGCTGTGTGGCCGCCCTCACTGATGTGAATCTTTGCGTCTGTGTTGTCGCTCGGCTCTGTCTTTACGTAACGAAGGGCGCGCCGGTTGCGGTAAAGTTTTGGATGAAAGAGGTTGCAGCGCACGAGAGTCGGCACAGGGCAGGGCGACAGCCGCGTCCGCCAAGGTTTCTTGCAGCCCAGAAGTCCCTCGCTCCTCCGTTTAATCTGCAAGCAGAATGGGAATCCAGCGCGGCGGTTTTTATGCGCACTTGACCTGGTTGTGAACCTTTGCGCTGTTCTCAAGGCGCATCTCAACCGCCTGCATACAATCTGAAAATTCTCCCTCTGTGGCACGCAGAGTCGATAGGTCAGTTTCCAGCTGGTAGCCACTCATCTCTGTCACAAGCAGCCCAAACCTGCCCGTGAGGTCAATCCAAAACTCAGCGACACCGAGGTTCGCACGGGCTCATGCTCAAGGCAGGCCTTTGTTTCACATGCTCTGCTCTTTCCTTTTAGTCTGTGGAGCGTACATGTTCCACAAATGTGTTTTGTCTTGCATACCGAGGTGGGGGAAAGAGGGACAAGAGTTCAACTGCTTAGCAGCGAAACCCTTTCCTGTGTGGGTCACAGTAGCAGAACGGGAATTTCCGCAGGCCAATGGATCCGTGCAGAAGGCAAACAGCTGCTGAAGGGAGAATGCTGAGAAGAGCGTTCATGATGCCGGTCGAAGGGGGAGAGGCTGGCGCTCAGCACAGGGCGGGCCTGGTGCTTGGCCGCCCGCAGGGGCCCTGCCGAGGACTTCACTGCACCCCAGTCAGAGGGGAGCCCCCGCCGGGCCAGGAGTGCACGAGTGGCCGCTTTGCCATGTCACGCTCCTTGCTCCGTGTGAGTCTGCGCAGAAGTGGGGAGCAGGCCCTGAGGGGTCCGCCGACCTCCTTCGCAGTGGTGAAAGGACCCTGGTGCCCGCAGGTGTGAGGACTCAGTTTCTCACCCCTGCCAGAAGGAAGTGGCGTTCTCGGACCTGGTGACTCTGCTGCGGGCGAGCAGCATGGAGGGACAAGACATGTGCCTCCTCGGCGGACTGAGCACTCTGTCAGGTCCCACAACCCCACAGCATGGCTGTCCCACAGGAAGAGTGGCAAAAGGGCCGCTCGGTGTCAGATCCCGCTTCCCGAGGAGCGTCTCGGTTTTTTAAGAGGCCTTATTCCCGCTCGGACGCTGCAGAGCAGTGCCTGGGGGCGTGTGGGCAAGGCCTGCCGGAATTCCAGAAGCCGCTCGGCAAAGCCTCTCCTGCGTTCAGGCCTGGGGTCCTGAGCCTCCCTCCACGCCTTTCTTTATGACTCGCAAGGCCTATGCGGAAAAGCCGTGGTGCTTTGCAGAGCTCGCGACCAGCTGCAGAACCGCGCCTGGCTTGGCCCGGAACGTGCCGGGGCGGCGGCGGTGGAAGGCCTCTCCTCCAGAGCCGCATTTGGGCCAGCTGTGGCGTTCCAGGGCAACCCAGCGTGGTCTGAGCGCGGCCCAACCAGCAGCCCTGCACACTGGCATCCAAGTAGCTCTACCCCATGGGACTGGAGACGCACCTGACAGGGGTCACTGTGCAGGCAGCCGGGTGCCGGGGCTCCCTTGTTAGTGGCTGAAGTGCTTCAAGGTTGCTCTTGCAGTTCTCCAGAAGCACGAGGACCAAACCCTGGCTCAAGGTAATCTTTGCAGCAAAAGCACGGGCCCCTGTGCCACCTGGTGAGGATTTCCCTCCTCACCCCTTGGAAAGATGTGGTTGAAAAGTCATGGCGGGATGCCGGGCAGAGGCATTCCCTGAGAGCCCGTCTCTTTTACAAGCAGGGGCCCCACGGAGGAAGCTTCTCAAAAGCGACTGCGCCCGTCACCGGCACTCCCAGCTCCCTTGCCTGAGGACGAGCTAGCCAAGACAGCCTGCTCTAGAGATTGTGGGAAGATTCTGCAGATTGGGAAGAATAAATAACTGTGCTTAAAACAGCGCAAAATCCTTGGTGTGTGGAACAAAGCCTTTGTGGAAAGATTTGGGGCGGCGGAGAGGTAGCAGAAATGCAGGGCATCCATCAAGGACTCCCGCAAGGCCCTCTGAGGTCCCCACAGAAAGAAGGGGGAGGCTGCCACAGTCGGCGTGGCCAGAGCAGCCAGCTGGGAAGAGAACCTGAAGCTGCAGGCCTTGCGGGCAGCCGTTGGCCCGCCCAGCCCCGCCTGGCAGCAGCTTCCTGCGGTTTTTCCCAGCCTGCTCCTGCAAGCTGCTTCACAGGAGCCTGGCTGAGGGAGGGGAGAAGCAGCAGGTGGGGCAGCCATGCCAGGGGCCTTCTCCGCAGGGGAAGGAGTCGCCGGCGGGAGCCGTCTCCTCGCGGTGGCGAGAGCTGCATGAGCTTCCGCGGCTGCTGCCAGATGGTGCTTGGAATAGTAGCTTTGCACGGCCCGATCTTGGGATTTTCCGGTTGGGCTCTTCAGAAAGGACAGGGGAGAGAAGCAGAACGTTCTCTCTCTGTGCTCAGGGCGAGACGGGAACTGTTCTGCTTCTCGGTTAGCACTGCATGTGAGTGCGTTTCTGTCTTTTTTGCGGGTATATTAATCGCCCTCCAGTCGGTTACAATAACTGGTTGATGAGGAAAGGGCTGAAGGGGCTTATCTTTCACAGAGACCTGATGAGGCAGCATTATGACTTCCCATACTGCACGCTGAAGAGTCTTTTAAAAAAGCGTCTCTGTAAAACCCAGAGGTTAATAGTCAGGTTCTGACTCGAGCGTTCTCCGAGCCTGACGCGCCGGCGCCTTCCTCGCACGGGGCTGCCGCCGTGCCTGCGCTCCTTCGGCGTGTGGCTCACAGCTGGCAGCAGCGCGAGCCAAACTCAGGCCCCACTGGAAGGCGCCCTCCAAAAGTGTACAGAGGAAGTTTCCTCGACAGCCTGGGCAAATCTTCCATCTGCGACTCTTTCTGAATGCCATATGGCACCCGCCGCCGGAGCCAGGCGGGCAGCCAGTTCAGACTGCTGGAAGCGCCGGCACTGCAGAAGAAGGCAGAGCGCCGAGGGGGTCTTGCAACGCTTGCTCGGTGAGAAGCGCGGGCGGAAGCGCCGAGACGCCGGGGGCGCCTGGAGAGCCGCTGGCAACGCGCTGCCGGGGCCCGAGAGCGGCTCGCTGCGGAGAAGGCTGGCGCCTCAGCGTCCAGCCCTGGATGGGGCCTCGAGGAGGTGGCCGTGCCGTCCTGAGGAGCATCCCGCCGGGCATGGCCAGAGAGGCCCGGCTCGTGCCCACGTGAGGCGGCTGGCGGGGCTTTCTGCCGTGGAGGATCCCGAACCCTGCCCCGGCCGGCTGAGAAGAGCACGCTCGTGCAGCTGTTCTCTGCCAAAAGGCACAACGGAGCAGCCGCCCAGGTGCCACTGGCATGTGCGGCCTCCGGCATCTCCGGTTGCCTCTGGCACGGTAGCCCTCCCTCTCCTGGGGCTTTGGGCAGCTCCTCCCAGGCCCGCCACTTGTTGCGCTGATGAGGGCAACGGGCTTCTGCCGCAGCCGCCCACTCTTGCTTTGGTTGGCCCAGCAGAGCAGCCGTGCAGGTCGCCCCGGTGCCCGGAGGCCGTTTTCCCAGCCGCCTCTTCCGCCTCGGTGGGCCGGGTGACCAGTGCTCCAATTCCTAGGGGGGACCCTCCGGGACATCTCGGTTCTTGGGAGACGTCGCCATGTGAATAGGCACCTAAGGTCCTAAAAAGAGAGCCGGCTGCCCACTTCGCCGCAGGCATGGTTGCTCCGTGCTGCCCAGATAAGGGAAGGATGAAGTCTGGGCCGGTGTGTTTTCGGATGGCGGGGGCACAAGGCCGGGAGATGGGTGCCTTGGCTCCCCTCCCTGCCTGGTCAAGGAAAGGACTCCTCTCCCACGAGTCAGCAGCCTCAAGCAGTTTATGTGGGTGAGATTTAATAGCCAATTAAGGCAAAGTGATAAGGTCTAATTGCCGGCCATTAAACCTCTCCTTCTGAAAGCTGCCGGGTTGCTGGGGCCCTCGCTTCAGCAGGAATCCTAGCGCCGATTCCAGCAGCCTCTTGCATCCCTGAAGCGGACGTCCAGATTGATTCTGGTGCAAGTCACTGCCTGCAAATGTGTTCCTCTGTTTGCTCATTTCTTTCGTTTTCATAGCACCCGATAGCCGAGGCACATCAGGGGAGGAAGGGAAGCCACGGCCACCAGAGGGGAAGTTGGAAATCGGGGGATGCCGGCCCAGGATGTGCATCCTCCCAGCCCTCCTCCCCTCACCCATCTGCCTCGGCCTCACGAGGGTTTGCGAGGCAGAACGCTTGCAGTTGCACGGAGACGGAACTGCAGAGCTGGGGATTTGCGCTGGCCACTCGGCTTTTTCCAGTAAGGGTAGCTGGTTCGGGGGTGGCGCCTCTGCTTGGGCGCAG